TGACGTCGTAATTTTACCAAACCGCCAGTATTGATGTAAAAAACATATTTATTATAGCATTAAATTAGTATTTTTCAAAGTGAGTACTTTAATACTTTAATACTGAGTGGATGTTTGACTGAGTACTTTTACTGTAGTACTGCTGTTGAGTACTTGGTCCACCGCTGGATGGGAGAACTGGGCTTCCTGTGACGTAACCCTGCTTTCTCCGTGGCTCTGCTTTGGGCCAGCTGGTCACTCCTGGTTGCCATGGAGAATTAAAGTCACAGTGCGGATTATTGTTCCTCGCAGCCTTTGGCTCCGAGTTTAATGAAAGGCGCAGATATTCTGGACGGACTGGTTTCTGTGCTTCCTGGATTATACCGGAAGTAGCAGCGCGTGGCGATTGTGATCGAGGCTCGCGTCCGCTTCAGAGGCGCATGGACGCCCACAGCTCAGCCTCCATCCTGCAGGGCTGACGGAGCAGCAGCAGCAGCATGATGCCGTCTGAGGTGGAGTACAGCCCGGTGGGAGAGGGGCTGGGCATGCGGGACTTCTGGCTCTATGCGTGGCTCCGCAGAGCGGCTCTGATCTTGGCTCATCTCAGCGGCCTGGGCCTCAGCCTCAGCATCTCGGTTCTGTCCAGACCAGGAACCAGTGAGTGGCTTCAACTGGGATCCACTGGTTCCCAGAGGAGGGGGGGTTACTGGTTCCATTCGTCAGTCTCTATGGAGAAACTTCTTTCATTAGCTGAAATATCTATGCTTAATGAACCAGAAAAATAAGGAGTTCACTCTGTCATTTATTCATTTAGAAAAATCAAAGTCCCAAATTAAATATTTATTATTTTAACTGAATGTTTATTCTTCCAAACTTCACTTAGACACATTTTATTTATTACAGCTTTCATAATATTTCCATTCATTTCTTAAGTGATCAAAATCAAACTTTCCCTATAAAGGCTTAAAGTGCAGCAATGACCAAAACGCATTAATCTGGAAGTTCAGAGCTTTAATATAAATGGTGCAAATATGGTGGGTTGCAGCCTCCACACCACACCAAACCACCAACTAAGTACTGAGTTTGGTGAATAAATATTTAGTTTGGAGCTAAATATGTTGGGCTACTCTATAAAGCTTAAAGCTATTTCTGACATTTTGAATTGAAAAAGCTTCCTGGATGGGAAGCGAAACGTCTTCACACGTGGAAACAAAGTCCAGTGGATTGCTTTTAACTTAAGAAATTTATGTTCAAAATTTCTTGCCATACTCGCCGTATATCAACGTTTCAGCGTTCTCATAACTTATACCAAACAAACCCATAACTTATCCAATGTATTGCAATTCAACTCAAACTTTATTTATAAAGCACATTTAAAACAACCAGGGTTAACCAAAGTGCTGTACAGATATCACATTTGCAGGAAATACGGTAAAAACTTACAAGCTAAAACAATAAAATAAAATAGAATGGAAATAAAATAGAATAAGTAAAGATTTTAATAAAAATGTAAATAATTTTTTTTTTGTGCCAGATGTCAAGTTAGACAAAGCCAGGGAGAAGAAGTGTGTTTTTAGGGAGGATTTAAAAACCTCAACGTATGCCAGCGTTTCTGCAGGCGTTTTTGCCAGATTTTGCGTATATCCGGCCTACGCTGGCCTGAATGGCTGAGGGGTGACAGGAGCTTGAAGAGTTTTTCTGTCTAACTTCTTTCTCACTTTTTAGTTCATGTCTGCTGAATTTTCAGGATGTTTCTCTGTTTTGCAGGTCTGTT